TTGCCTGTTGTACATGAGAGAACATAAGTATATCCCCTGCCAAGTGTAGCATTGTGTGTGGTGGGTGAGAGGCATGTTTTTTAATAGGCTTGCCTTGAGTTTTCAATAAATGGTGCAACAGCTAAGTGATTTTGCTACAGAGTCAGAGAGATCTATGTTGGAAGCTGACCTCAGCCACTTTCTACCCATGTCCAATCTTCCACCTCAGAGGATGAATGTGGTGCCAAATGGTATCAGAGGAGGAAGGTGCTTCACTGTGGTCTAGCACAGGAAAAGCAAAGTACCAGCTGAACTAAGCTTGTCCAACAGGGCAAGGTGAAAGTCTTGTGTATCTTTGCTCTAAGGTCAAGCAGTGTCTGACAATCGATGAGGAAATTAGTAACATTTTATAAATCATCTCTTTCCATACAAATGCTGAATTGCAGAATTTCTGCACACTCTTCACCCTAGATAGAGTTTTTTATATAATTATGATGGAAAAACTGTGGTGACAACTGAATTTCTGAACCTCGTGCAATAGTAATTTAGATGTATCACTCACCGAATAAGTATTTTAAAGCTGGAAGGAAGTTTAAGAGTAAATTGGTCCCTTTTCTTCCACGAATAGAAGAGGCAACTGAGGCACAGAAGGATGACATGACTTCAACATTGCATTGGACATGCATCTTTAAGCTCTGCCCACACGGCACCACAAGGGTTTTGAAATTCTATGGCTACTGGAATGAGTATAGTTCTAGGTCCTGCCTAGGACCCAGATAAATTGGAGTCCTGGGCTTGGAAAGATGGAAGGACAATGTAGCTGGGGCAGTGGTGAGGGCTGGCAAGTGGCTGGGCTCTAAATGCAGTGGAGCCCCATGAAGAAGAAGGAGCAAGGCAAGGCCACGGTGCCTGCTGCAGTCCCCCTGTCCATCATCACCACGAAGGCAACAGGGGCCTGGACAGTGTTTGTATGCACCACTTCTCTCCTGGCCAAACACACCACCCTTGTTTTGGATCAGAATGTGTTTTTTTAATCTGTCAATTATTAATCTATCCAAACAACTGATAGAAAACTAGACAACAAATAAGCAAGACTATGGAACTCAACCACACTAACAATAGGACCCATCGTCCCACCCACCAACAGTAGAATACACATTATTTTCAAGTGCCCATGGAACATTTGCCAAGACAGACCATATCCTGGGCCATAAATCAAACATTAACAAATTTAAAAGAATTAAATTTATACAGAATATGTTCTCTGATCACAATGGGATCAAACCAGAAATCAGTAACAGATAACAAGAACATTTCCAAACACCTGGAAACTAAAGACACACTTCTAAATAATCCACGGGTTAAAAAAATCTCAAGGGAAATAAAAAAATACATTGAACTTAATCTAAATGAAAATGCAACATATCAAAATTTGCGGGATAAAGTTAAAGCAGTACAGAGAAGGCAATGTGGAGCACTGAATGCTTAAGTAAGAAAAGAATAGCCTCAACACAAGAATCTAAGTTCTACTTCAAGAAAAAGACCAAAAGAAACCCAAAGCAGGCAGAAGAAAGGAAATAAAGATGAAAACAAAGTTTGATAAAATTGGAAGCAGAAAAACAAAAGAGAGAAAAGTAAATACACAAAAAGTTGGTTCTTTAAAAAGGTCAGTGAAACAAACCTCTAGCAAGACTGATAAAGGAAAAGGAAGATGCCCCAAGCTACCAGTATCAGAAATGAAACAGGGTCTGCAGACATTAAAAAGATCATAAGGGAACAGCAGGAGAAATTCTGCACACCTAAGTTTGACAACTTAAAGGAAATGGACCAATTTCTTGAAACAAACTACCACGACTTACCTAATGTAAAACTGATAACTTTGAATAAACTTATGCCTATAAAGGAGATGATTTTATAACTTAAAAATCCCAGGAAAGAAATCTCCTGGCACAAAGGGTATCACCAGAGAATTCTATCAAGCATTTAAAGAAGAATTAAACACAATCGATTCCGGAAAACAGAAAATGTGGGTACTTTCCAACCCATTTTTGAAGCTGATATTACCTAAGGCAGAAAAAAAGTCCCTCAAGAATAGACATGCAAAAATCCCTAACAAAATATTAGCTAATACAATTCAGCAATATATAAAAAGAGTTTTTTTAAAATGAGTATTACTAAATACTATGACTAAGTGGGATTTATTGCAGGGATGTGATGCTGATTCAATATTTGAAAATCAATTAATGTAATCCACCATATTAATGGGCCAAAGAAAAAAATCCCACGATCATTATCAATTGATGCACTGAAAGTATTTGGCAAAATTCATGCCCATTCACGATAAAAAAAAAAAAGTCTCCCAGAAAACTAGGCATAGAAGGAAGTTTCTTAACTGGATAAAGAACATATACACAATACCACCAGCTAACGTGACACTTAATGGTGAAAGACTGAGTGCTTTTGCCCTAAGATCTGGAACAAGACAAGAATGTCCACTCACACCACTGCTATTCAACATAGTGCTGGAAGTTCTAACCAGTGTAGTAGGCAAGAAAAGGAAATGAAAGACATACAGATTGGAAAACAAGAAACAAAACTCTCCCTATTTGCAGAGGCCGTGACGGTTGAAGTATACAGAAAATTCCAAGGAACCTGTTAGGAAAAAAAAGCCTCCTGAAACTAATAAGTGAGTTCAACAAATTAGAAGCCAATTCATCAACATATAAAAATTAACTGTATTTCTGTATACCAATTATGAACACAGGAAAAATGAAATCTGAAAACGAAGTATCATTTACAATTGCTAAAAAAATTTACTTATTGCTCAAAATAAATCTAGCAAAATATATTCAGGACTTGTATATTGAAAACTATAAGCTATCGATATAAGAAATTAAAGGAGGCCAGGTATGGTGGCTCATGCCTGTAATCCCAGCACTTTAGGAGTTCAAGGCGGGAGGATTGCTTGAGGCCAGGAGTTCAAGACCAGACTGGGCAACACAGAGAGACCCAGTCTCTTCAATAAATAAAAAACATTAGCTGGGTGTGGTGGCGTGCACCTGTAGTGCCTCTTAGCTACTCAGGAGGCGGAAACAGGAGGATCACTTGAGCCCAGGAGTTCAACGTCACAGTGAGCTATGATTGTGCCACTACACTCCAGCCTGGGCAACAGACTAACACCTGTCTCAAAAAGAAAAGAAATTAAAGGATATCTCAATAATGGAGAGACACATTATGTTCACAGATTAGAAGAACCAACATAGCAAAGATGTCAATTTTTTCCAAATTGATGTAAAGGCTTAACACAATTCCCAGCAAAATCTCAGCAAGATTTTTTTGTAGATACAGACAAGATTATTCTAAAATGTATAGGGAAAAGCAAATGAACTATAAGAAGTTTAGATGCGTTAAAATAACATTGAAAAAGAGGAATAAAGAGGTGGAATTACTCTATCCAATTTCAGGACTAATATAGCTACAGTAATCAAAACTGTGGGTATTGACAGAGTGACAGACACATAGATAAACAGAACAAAATAGAGAACCAGAAATAGCCTACACTAGTTAAGCCAACTGATTTTTGACAACTGCATAAAGCAATTGAATCCAGGAAAGGTAGTCTTTTCAACAAACGCTGCTGCAGTAATTGGGTATCCTCGGAGGGTGGGGGAAGAAATTAGATCTAAATATCACACTTTGATTTTATACAAAAATTAACTTAAAACAGGTAATGAATTAAAATGTACAGCATAAAATTTTAAAACTTTCAGGGGAAAACAAGCGAGGAAATCTTCAGGAACTAGGGTTTCATGAAGAATTCTTAGACATTACTTCAAAAACATAGTCCATAAAAGAAAAATCAATAAATTGGATTTCATCAATATTAAGAACTTTTACTCTGTGAAAGATCCTGTTAAGAAGATAAAAAGACAAGCTACAGATTTGACAAAGAAATCATATCTAGAATATATAGGAAACTCCCAATACTCAACAGTAAAAAAACAAAATAAAACCAAAAAATTCATTTTTTAAAAGGGCAAATAACATGAAGAGACATTTCCACACAGAGGACATATTTATGGCAAATAAGCACATAAAAAGAGTTCAATATCACTAACAATTAGGAAAATGCAAATTAAGACCACAATGAAATAGCAACCTATTAAATATATATCTATTAGAGCAGCTAAAATAAAAAATAGTGACCATACCAATTGCTGGTGAGGACACAGAGAAACTGGATCTCTTAAATGTTACTGGTGGAAATAAAAAATGTGATAGCCACTTTGGAAAAAAGTTTGAAAAGGCCCTGAACAACTAAAATACACCCATCATACAACCCAACAATCACACTCCTGAGCATTTATCCCACAGAATAAAATTTTATGCCCACATAAAAACCTGTATACAAATGTGCACAGTCATCTTACTTGTAATAGACAAAAACTAGAAACAATAACAACGTTCCTGAAGAGGTGAATGGATAAACAAGCTGTGATACATCCATACCTTGAAAGGTTACTCAGGAGTAAGAAAGAACAAACTACTGGTATACACAACTGGAATGGATCTCAAGACCATTTTGTGAATGAAGAAAAGCCAATCTCAAAAGGTCAATAATTGCATGTACGTAACAGTCTCAAAACGACAAAAATACATAAATGAAAAACAAATCAGTGGCTGACGGAAGTTAGGAATTTGGGGAGATGGAAGTGGGTGTGACTATAAGGGGATAGCAAGAGGGGATCTTTGTGGTGATGAAATAGCTCTGTATCTTGAGTGTAGTGGTCGTTACACAAGTCAACACATGATAAAACAACACAGAATCACGCACACACATTGTACCAATGTCAGTTTCCTGGTTTTTATATTGCCCTATAGTTATCAACATGTGAAGAGCACAGAAGACCTTTCTGTACTATCTTTGTAACACTCTGTGGATTTACAATTATTCAAAAATGAAAACTTTAGAAATATATCATCATAGTATATCTTCTATTTGAATAACAAATAACACTCACTTCCAATATCCGGCCTCAGCTTTTTATCATATTCTCTTAGCAACTTGTTGAGAATAAGAGTCACGTCGGTGTCCTGGGATTTTGGAGCCAAGACCCACTTTTGGTTTGACAATGAATCTTCATATTCATCCTCTTCCACCTTTCTGGACCTGTAGTTATGGCACAAAATGTGATGTATAAGTAGCAGCAGTGGCTCCAGGATGTGCCTTAAGTCTGTCCTATCCAAGTACCACTGAAATGGGTAGAAAGTACCCTGTTCCCTCAGCCCAATCATACGTGTTGCCTCTAAAATATAAAAAGAAATGAAAAACAAATGAGTAATAACTGAATAGGAAAAATGCAACTGCTATGAACATGGCATGATGTTTTCATTAAAAGTTAGAAGACCATTCCATGTCCAGGTTAAACTACAGACACCGGAATAGGTGAATCAGTGCCAGAAGATCAACCTGCAGGCAATGAGCGGTCCGTCCTTGGATCCAACTTGAGAACTTCCAAAGGTCAAGGCACAAACCTCCCAGAAGTTATAGTAGGTTGTGCTGTGGTTTCCAACCCCACCATCAACACCTTATTTTAGATGAAGGTGAGACAGCTTCTCCTGAGTGGATTCGCTCAAAATATTTGAGTCTGACTTCCATGCTTCTCTTGGAGGTGGGAGTCCAGGGATCTAGCTAGATATGTGGACACTATGAGGTGATCTGCTTTGCCTGCACTCGCATGGTAGGCAAGAGGCAAGGATGTTGGCTGGCGACTGGTGAAGGCCTGCTGCCAATTTTGCATGCCTCTGGCAACACAAACGGACTCATCTCTTGCACAGGATGCTAATGCAGACATTAGGAATTAAGATCTTTCTAATACATCTTCAACATGTTGGCTTCTTACTAAACGTATCCCATGAATGCTTGGGTATCTCTGAGCTTGTTTCATGCAGGGCCGGCACAACAGCCTCCCCTCCCCAGCAACACACACTGACAGGAGTACTCAAATGCAGGGACCTCAAGATGACAAGCTACTTGTCTTTCTTTCGGGTTCTGGAGTTTTTTAGGATTTTTAAAACTTTTTCCTTATTTATAATTGACACATATTTGACAAGCTAGTTTTCTCAGTGAGTGAGACCATCTCAGACTTGGAAAATAGAGGGTCTCTTTCTGCCTTGGGGCAGCATTTCTGGGTGGACGACCATTGACCCCAGCAAGAATGTCATAAAACAAATAAACCTCTTCCTTTCTCGTTTGTCAGTGTGTGCACCTTAACAACTTTTGTATTCACAGAAGAGAACAAAAAACAGAAAAGAAAACTGCACTGAGGTATATTTGTCCTGACTGAGTATGAGCTCATTTCTGTTTAGCTTCTCAGGAGCCAAAATGTCAGTGCCATGTTAGGGCACTGTGCTCGGGGACACAAGTTTCTTGAAGTTAATTTTTAGAATTGTCTAAATTATCCATAATAAACGTGAAATTAATAAAAGGATAAACTTTTTAAAGTTCATTTCTTTGACTTCATTAAAGTCTTCATAATCATATATATTTAAATGTACATATATGTCATATATTATACACACGAGTCTTTCCATGAGTGTTAACTAGCCATAACATAGACTAGAGATGTGGTCAGATAGTTGAAACCTGGATGAACATACACACACATACAAGAGATTCGGATATGGCCGGGCGCGGTGGCTCACGCCTGTAATCCTAGCTCTCTGGGAGGCCGAGGCGGGCGGATTGCTTGAGCTCAGGAGTTCGAAACCAGCCTGAGCAAGAGCGAGACCCCGTCTCTACTAAAAATAGAAAGAAATTAATCAGACAACTAAAAATATATAGAAAAAATTAGCCGGGCATGGTGGTGCGTGCCTGTAGTCCCAGCTACTCGGGAGGCTGAGGCAGAAGGATCGCTTGAACCCAGGAGTTTGAGGTTGCTGTGAGCCAGGCTGACGCCACGGCACTCACTCTAGCCCGGGCAACAAAAGCAAGACTCTGTCTCAAAAAAAAAAAAAAAAAAGAGATTCGGATAATAAGTATGTAGCATATGTCTGGAAGAATGACTTCCCCGCTTAAATTTTTCCTAGGCTATAATTCTATTTCTTGAATACCTATTGTTTAAATAAATCAGTCACAGAAACTATAAATTGCTGTGGATTTTTATCCACATCCAACATTCACCATCAATAGGAACTTATAAAATTTGGGACGCATATTCAATAAGGGGCATGCTGCATTTCATTATTTGCAACGCTGAACTTTTACAAATGATACACAGAATTTTAAACGTTACTCTAAAACGTTTCATGTCATCAGGAATATTATCAAGAATGTTAATTTTATTTTCTTGCGGGGGGGAGGGGGAACACCCAAAGAGTAGGGTGAAGTATTTGGATAGCTCAGAGCCAAGCACTGCCCACAGGACCAGGCAAATCATTCCAGAGCAAAAGTATCTGGGGCAGTGTGGAGAGAGAGGTAGCTCACCTCAGCAGTCAGGCACAACATTCTCAGGACACCTGGCAGCTCAGCCACTGCCTTCCTCTCTCCCTCTGCTGTGTCTCCTCTTTCTCCTTTCCTTGCTCCCCCTCCCCAGCTCCTCCCCACCACCACAGAACCAAATCATGGGCTCCATACTCTGTTATTTTCGATTGTCCCATGGTCACAGTACACAGATTGAGCACATCGACTAGCTCTGCATCATTTTTTATATACAGGCTTAGTTTCTGAACATTACATTGAGCTACTTCAATAACAGGTATTACAATGAGCCTAATTCTCCCTCTAGTGGTGATGAAAGGGTTTTCCTAAAATTGCGTAAGCATCTTCCTTGGGCAGGTGGGAGTGAGAGAGAACAAGAATAGGAAAGCAGGAGCATTTTCTCCCACCCCTTCAGGTGGTATATCAGGACCCCAGCCCTGCAGCCAGGCTGGGTGGGCAGCAGGCAGCATGGGGTCGGGATGCTCTTGGCCTCTCCACTGCCAGTGCTGTGCTCCTCCCATGCTGAACGAAACTGAAGCCTCACATTGCTGGTGCCAGCCCACCAGCCCCACAGGAAAATCCCTGCTTTAATGAAACGAAATCTCACCTCAGAGGACCCACTAGAACATGGATAAAACAGAAATTTTCTTTTTTTCTAAATTCTAAGTGAGTTATATATAATCTTTATGAGCACTCTGTTCTTTGGATTGTTGGATCATAAACACCATCACTGCAATTAGCTTTTTCTTAAAAATAAATTGGTGATGTATTGTCATTGTCAAACAACTGCTCTACCCTCAGACGTTATTTTCATGTCTGACACCTTTGCTTCAACCAAAAGGACAGAGACAGAGTCTGACGTATTTTTAAACATTAAAAGGAGCTCCTAAACCTCAGAAAGCAGTTAAGCATCTTCAAGTCACCACCAAGGTCCAGGTGTGACTGAGTGCGTTTTATGTATAACGAGCTCATCCATGTGTCAAAATAGGGAACCTCCCCCCACCTCGGGGGAGCCATCACCAGCCACAAAGCACAATTGTCAGAACCTTTTCCAGGGAACCTCCACACCAGGAAGGCATTCCAGAATGCAAATGAGAACCCTCTCAGAATTAATAAGTTTGGAAAGATGACACTGGACATCAGATTATTTTACATGTCTGTAAAATCCATTCAGAGAACAAAGACACTTTCAAAGGACAGACATGTTGCAATAAAGTTAGCATAAAATTTGGATTTTTTCCAACTGATAATGTAATCTCTACTATGAAGGCCAGGGAACCAACTCAGACACAGAACATACCGAAATCATAACATCTGCCTTGGTGGAATGGAACGGTGAGGAATCCCAAGGGATTTTATATGTATTCAGGAATCTCTAAAATCCTGACTGCTTCAGGTAGATAATAAGATATCTTCCTATTGGGCACACAAAGTCATAAGGACAATAGGCAGTTTTTCTTCTAGAATGTTGAGTATCTAGAGATCTAAACAGTTGATTACTTAACCCTGAACTTCAGGTCGCTTCTTTGAATTGGTGGCAATAGAAAGGTCACGTACATGTGACTTTGAGCCTCTACGTTAAGCCTGGTGCTGCCTGCCTGTCTTCCACCTCTAAACAGAGATACATATATCCAGGCAGAAGCAACCACAGAAAGCACATTTCCATTTCTTTTACCAGCTGTCTCTTTAGAAAGAAACTTCAGCTGAACGACCCAAGGAGTGCTCTGCCTGGTTGAGAGAGTTGCCTGTGAGTCACCAGTGGAGTCTGCCTTTCACATTCTCAACTCAGCAAAGATGGGCAGTTTGAAGGGGAAGGCCAGGGCTTTCTTCCTCATGGTAAGCATCTCTAAGATGGGAGTGAGAATTGGGGCCATCTTCACATTTTGTAGGATTTATTTACCTGTCTTCCTAGTTCCTTGGTACTTCCCAAATATAAACGAAAATGCAAGACCTCCTGGCATTGCTCCTGACAGCTGCCAGGCTTGTGGCCCACAAGGATGCTCTCTGATTCTCTACCTCCCAGACCCAGAAATGGAGAAGCGTCAAAACAAGAGTCTTTGGGGAATAGGGGTGCACTGAGATTCCTAGGGTGGAGATAGAGGAAGAGGCAGGAAGCTCCTCTGATTTCCAAAGCACAGAGCAGTCTGCAAGCTTTAACCAGAGATCCAGACAGGGAGACAGAATTAAAGAAACCAACCCCAGAATCTCCAGTTGTGTTTACAGCAATAGTGTTTAACCCTTCTGGTCCCACTGCCCTTCTATCCTCATGAGCCCTCTTCATCCCTTCTGGAGCATTTCTAAGCTCTCATTACCTGGTTGGTGTTCTGGGAGGAAGGTTAAGGGTATTCATGGGGAGATAATTTCTTACATTACCGGGCAGGAGGCTTCTTGTCAATTTCAACATGCTTGCTTTATGGGGACAGAAGAGTGTATGTTCCTGTGTGTGAAAAGTGGCTGATCTAAAAGGGGTGTGTGTGTGCAGAACCTACAAGGGGAGTCCTTTTAGAGAAGCAGGGCTCTTGGCTGCCCATCTGGCCCCAACACCCCCCACACACAAACACACACCTGCCTCTGGCCGGTTAGCTCTTCCTAGTCTGATCTAAACTGGGCTGCTAGAAAATCACGACTCCTGGGTCGTGGGAAATTTCAGAGTGCTGAAAACGATAGAGAATGTCGGTCAAGGTATGTGCGAGAGCCCCTGGAACAGTTGGAGTGGGAATAACGCGCAGGTAAGGAGGTAGAAACAGCTCCCGCCCTGGGATCTTGGTTTTCAAAACCCCTTAAACCACCAGATCCTAAAAGCGTCAGGAGACGAACCCCTTAATCTCAGAGTCCCCACATTCCTGGTTGCAGAGGAGGCTGCTGCCACCCAGCCGGAAGAGGCAGATGGCCATGGCCAGGGGGAGATAGGACAGGTGAGGCGCGGGCGGACTTCCAGTACCCTCCTAGCCGGCTGTACCGCAGCCCAGCCGACGGCGGGGCGCGCCAGGAACTCCGGGCCGGCGCACAGCGCCCCCCGCCGCCCTCTCGCTGGCTCCAGGCCTCCGGGCGATGCGGGGCCCGCGCGCCACTTACCTTGCGTGCAAGCCGGAGAACAAGCAGAGGAGCAGCAGCAGCTTCGGGGCCATGGTGCCGCGGAGCTCGGGGCTGGGAGTCCGAGGCCTCAGCCGGGCTCGGCTTCCTCCGGAGCGCGGGCCTCGTCTCCGCCGGCTCTCCTCACCCTCGCTGCCTCCCCGGCTCCCCTCACCCTCGCTGCCTCCGACGCTGCCGGTCGCGGCGCAACTCCGGCTCTGGGCGGCCGCGGCGGGACAGGTGTCTGCTCGGGCGGCTGGCCGCGCCCCCGACGGCCAGTGGGTCTGCGCGCGGCTCCGCGGGGCGCACGCGGGACGCCGGGCCACCACGGCGCGCCGCCCCCACCCGCGCACTGGCGCCGCGTCCGCGCAGCGGGGTGGCGGGAGCGGGTGGGCGCCGGGGACCCCCTGGCGCGGCAGACCCGCCGTCCCTGCGGCGCCGCCCACCCCGCGGGAAGCCGAGAGCGGCAGCCGGGCGCCGGCGCCGGGGCGGTGGGCTCTGCGCGCGCGGAGGTGGGGGCAGCGAGGCGGCAGTCCTCTGGCAGCGCCTGTGAGGCGGTCCCGGCGGGGAGGAGTTTCCCCAATTACACGCTTGGCAACGCACAAGACGAAAAAATCAAGGTTTGAATGGACTCGGAGTTTGAGGCCAGGAACGAGGGGGGGCACTTAGGGGTCAGGGATGTCCCAGGGTGCCTGAAGAAAGGGATGGGTACCTCTAGCGCAGAGAGCGAGCCCCACAGAGTAGTTTTCCTCCCGCGCTCCTTGACCTCCTGTTGCCCGCCCCTCCCAGCGCGTCTCCATTTAGGCACGCCATTGCAAAGGGTTGGGGTGGTTTCCATCGCACACTTTGTGCTAAGTTGACCGAACTCCTCCTGTGCACTACGAAGATTCTGTGCATGGAAAGGTGGCTTTCTGGGGGAATATTTGGAAAAAAGCTCCCACGACTTATGCCTTTCTCGAGAGACTAACACATACCAATAAAATGGACTGTTGAAGGTAGGAGAGAGAAAGATTCTAAGTCAAAAAGCAAAGGACATTGTTTTTGGTTGAACCATGAAGTGCACTTCGTTTCATGTGTTTTCATATTCCATAGACCAAAAATCACATTTATGTTTTCATTTGTAAGAATTACTCAAAAAGCTAGTCTTTCATCACAGAAGTATTACAGTACCAATAACATAGTAAATCCACTAGGAATTTTGCTTTTCTATACAAAAAAGTTCTTAGAAAATATTTTACATTTTCAAGTACTATTCATAGAATTATGAAAGGATGTGATAATTGTTTCTTTAATATTGTCAAATAGCTTTGTTCATAAAATATATACAATAGTAAGTTGAGGCCCTCTGGTGTTTTCCCCCTTGTTTCTGGATTCTCCAACATGAACATGGCAACGAAGTGGAGTGCAGTTGCTGTTGATGGTATTGCTTTTTAGCAATGGAGCTGTCACCTCTTGGCATTGCCATCTTTCTGTCTCCATGAGGTGCTGGGCTCACCGAGATCACCCCTCCCCAGGACTTTCTCTGGCATCCTCATCCTCCTCTGCTTACCACACTCTCCTACTGAAATATACATGCCCAACTAGAGTCCATTCTTCTATGAAGACTCAGCGATCCTGCACTCTTCCATCTCCAACATCTTTATCACTTCTTCAAGCTTCAGGGGTATATGAGCCTTTATCATATTCTGCCCTAATCTCTAATTTTATGCACCAAAAACTGAGCCTTTAAAAATCAGTTACATGATGATTTATTTTTCCTTGGTTGCTTGTAAAAATATGCCAAGTCTCCATACAATTTTTAAGTGTGCTATAAGAAAGCTTCAAGTAGAAAGAAACAATTCTGTTCTGCTTCTATCTTTAACACAATAATAGGAACACAGGTAAAAATAACCATTAGACACTGGTAATATTAGAGGCCTAGGACCAATACGAAGGCTTTATGTTGATTAAAAGTAAATTAAAATTCTCACATTATTTCTATTTCACAGATGGAGAAAGAGCACAGAGAAGTTAATCCACTTGCCCAAGATCACACAGCTACTAAGTTGAGTACTGAGGGTTAAAATCCAGTCATTTGGCTCTAATGTTTGTCTTAATCACTATGTCATACTGCCTGAGTAGGAGTTCATTAGACATTTGTTATTTGGATCTTTGAGCAAAGTTTTAGACTCCTTACCATATTCTTTATTTTTTGAGCATGAATAAAAATACTTACAAATTGTTTATAATAGAAATAGGCAAGTATTTGAATGATTTTGTAAAATATCAGTATAATGAGAAGTGTCCTGAGATTTTTTTTTAACAGTACAATCAGTGGACGAAAAATGTGATACTCTTTTTACATCCCCATGCTCTTTATTCTTTTCCTTTCTTGCATATGTTCAGTATGCTATTATTATGAATGAATGCAACCTGATCTCTTCTGGCATTTGGAATGCTTTGCTCCATCTATTAAACTTAGTGGGTCAGCTTGGTAGACCTGAACATTTTACCTTGGAAAAAGCCCCCTTTCCTAGAACAAGAATATTTTTAAAGCTAAATGGGTTGAGAGGAAGGGAAAATTAAAGCAAGCTTTGTGGCCATAAGTGTGAAAGCAAAGTGCAAGGGCAAGACTCTTCAAAGGACAAGCTACCAGGCTTTGATTTTCCTCCTTTGCCCAGGTTGACCGGCGGCGGATGCTTTGCGGAGCATGCGCAATGCGCACCCTCCGTCCTGCCTCAGCTTCTCAGCCTTCAGCACTGGAAAAGTTGACAGTTCCACTTGGACAGGCGGGATTTATATCTCCTCACCCTAGCTCACAGGAAGAGGAGGGGAAATAAAAAGTAAGTGAAAAAGAGAGCCACCGCAAGATTGGTGCTTAATCATAAAAGGTAAGGATTGGGGATCGATCCACAAAACTGGAGAACGTATACACTTTTGTGAATGTGGAACGTGCTCCTCGCCTTGCGTGCTGCTTGGAGTTTGGGCTTTAGGGAGGTTTCGGGGAATACCTGGGCTGGCGACTGCAGGAGGCGGGAAGCGAGGCGAGGGGCGGGAGACTAGCTGCCTTGGCCACGGGACCCTCCTGCGGTTCCACGGAGAATTGCAGCTGCGGGTTTCCTCTCACAGCCCGGCTCACCTCCTGCGGCGCCCGGGAGCAGGGCCACCGCGTGGCCGAACGTGTCATCTATCTGTTTTTTTGTGGCTTCTGAGTTTTCTGTTTTGCATAAAGTCTCTCCCACTCCCAAAATTATACTTCTGCATTGTATGATGTTTTATAGTTTCATTTTTTATAAAAACGCCTTTCCTTCGTCAATTAAAAAAAAATTGTGGAAGGATAATACACACACAACAAAATGCACTTATCTCAAAAAGATTACTCAGTGAATTTTTACACATATATATACCATATGTATGTGAGTATCATCCAGATTTTTACATATAGCATATATAGTTACAGAATGTCTCAAAAGTCCCCATACATAGGTAAAGTGGGAAATTGTAGCTAAATGTACATTTACAAAATATTCATTACAAAATTTCACAAAATGTTTCCTTTGTATGGAGACTTTTGGGACACCCTGTATTATATTACATATTTCTCTGCACCCCTTCCCAGTGGCTGGGCCACCTTAAAGTCATTATCAACACTAGGTAACCAACCATCGTCTTCTGTTACATAGACTGGTTTTGTCTGCTCTTGCCCCTCATATACAGTCATGTAACATAATCTATTTATGTCCAGTTTCTCTCACCCAATGTAATGTCTGTGAGAGGTACCCTCATTGCTGCATGTAGCAGTCATTCATTATTTTTTATTGCTGCACCTGGTAGTTCGTGTGAATATACCACACATTTATTTATTTGTTCCCATGCCAATGGACATCTGGGTTGTCTGAAACTTTGCGATATTATGAATAAAAGCTGACATAAATATTCCTGTACACATCTTTTGGCGGACATATGTCCTTATCGTACTTGGTTATCTGACTAAAAATAGAATCTCTAGATGACAAGAAAGGCATATGTTTAGCGATCATAAATATTACTAAAGAGATTTCCAAAGCAGTTGTATTCATTTACCACCCATTGGCTAGACTTGAGTTCCACACAAAGTCTGGAGGAAATGTGGCCTTGCCCTTCTTTTTAATTATCACCACTCTGATATTTCATTCTGGTTTTAATTTCATGGAACTCGTTTCAAATTCTTACCGGCCATTGAATATCTCTTTTATGAAGTGTCATTTAAGTCTTTTGCCCATTTTTAAGCTAGCCCTTTTGCCTTCTTTTTATTCGTAGAAGCTCTTTTTTAAAAAGTGAGTCCTTTAATATGTGTGTGATGAGTATCTTCTTTCAATTGGTTGTGTGCCTTGACATTTTCCAAATAATGTCTTTTATGAATGTTATTGCTTTGTGTCCTATTTAACAAATCATTGCCTACCCAAAGGTCATGAAGATAGTCTACTATGTTTTCTTCTAAAGGCTTCAAAAGAAAGCTCCTCTTTTAAGACTAGGCTTCACTCCTAATTAATTTTAGTATATGATTTTATTTATGAGCCAAAGCTTATTTTTATACAGATAACTAATTGATCTAGCATGACTTTTCTAAAACACCATCCTGTTACCAATAAATTTGCATAAATCAGGTGACTATATATGCATGCATCTTTTTCTGGACTCTGCTCTCTTTATCTATTTGTTTATATTTGTACCCATATCACACTTTTAAAAATTAATATAGCTTTAATTTTTCTTAACTCTGAGTTTTTGTTTTTGCTATCCTAGGTTGTTTGCACTTATGAGTATAAATCAGTTTGTAAGTTTTTCCCCAATTTTCCAACTATCCTCTCTGAAATATTCACAAGCTTACAAAGAAATTATGAAAATAATGCAAAAATTTCTATGTAATATTACCTAATCTACTGCCCATAGTCTAATGTTTCCAGTTGTTCCGATAACATCTTCAATAGCATCTTTCCTATATAGTCTAAGATCCCATTCAGGATCACACATCGCCCTAGTTATTGCATCCCTTCATCCCTGTTTTTAATCTGGAACAGGTTGTTTATTTTTTTATTTTTTGGACTTTTTGATCTTTCGCAATATTGATAGTTTCATTAGACCCAAGATTTTTTTGTAGAATGCACCTCAGTGTCAGTCTGTCTGCTGTTT